TAAATTGTATAAAATAACACAGTCCTAGATATGTAGATTATGAATTAGTGTTGAGTTCTTACCCGAACCGTCCAGATTTTTGGGAAAAAAATCAAAATATCATATAATCAGTAATACGTGACACTCAGTTAAATCAAATTATTGCTACAATAAAGATAAGCTTTGGGATTAATAAAATGCGTACACAATATGACAATTTATGGCTCCAAATTAAGTATGTCACAAGATGGAGAACAGATCTATCACGTCAATGTAATGAATAATTAGTTATATTTTATACGTGGCAATGATAAATGACCGCATGTTTATCAATGAACGTTAGATCGAAACAAAGATAACACAATATTCAAACAAATATGAACTTATCCTATTTGTCACTCAATTTCGTTTATAATAAAATTAACAAACTTCTACGTTTCTATATGAAAAAAAAAAACACCCACCCAAATACACGACGTTTCAAAAAAGTATCTTCCGACTCTCGATCCACATCTCCACATCCAATATTAGATAATCCAAATGGAATGCACCGCCTTATTAATAACATTTAAGCCGCTCAAAGAACCACAACAAAATCAAATTCCCGTCATACCACACGAATTACGAAACGCCGAACAAAGCCCTCGCATTTCCAGATAAAATCTCAATTCCCAACTTCATGAATAAATCCAAACCCTTCAAACTTACACAATGCCGCAAAGAACAAAAAATACACCTGGGGTCACGTTTCAAGACAGGATAATCGCCGAAAAATCTTCCGTGCTCACTTTTTTTCCACACCTTTGAGCGTTTCTTTTTTTGTCGGAAGCAGAATAAACGTAGCACTTGTATTCATGTCCGACGTCACCTTTAGGCCCCTGAATAAAACATCCCCTAAGTCGAACGCAGCAATTTGCATAGGTCGGAGCCAGATGGCGCTGCAACATTTCATAAGTTGAAAGGTGGTGTTTTTTGGGGTAATTTATGATGCGTCGCAAATACATAAAGACGATGACATTGAAAAAACTCCGGGATGAATAATTCAACCCTCGTGAGAGATTATTTTGTCGAGGGAGAGGTCATGGAAGGTTGTGGGTTCCGGTAGCGGGCTGACAGTTATGGAGATTAGAGAAAGGGTTTTTATGGGTTTTATTGTGAGGGGGTGTTAATTAAGGATGAGGGTTGATTGCTGGACACGAATAATCTGAAAGAAGAGATAATTACGAGAAGGGCGTGTTGTTTTCGGGGCAAGGATCCCGTTATTGTTTCCATAAAAAATGGTTCCGAAATTATTAGAAAATCGTTGTTTGTTTAATAAGAAATTATAAAAGTGGTAACCCGGATTTTTCCGGTGAGCTTTCAGTTTTCACCACACTGATCGATTTCGCAACAAAGCACCAGTTTCACACCATTTGCATAATTCTTCAGCGAAATCCTTTCATCTTCGCCACAACACTAACGAAAATTACGTAAAGTGGCTTTTCTGAACGTCCGCTCCATTTTCCCTGATTTCCGGTACCGATTAGTAGATAGCGATATCTAGTAGTAAATAAAAGCCAACCAGTTGACCGCAACCTCATTTCTAAGCATTGACCATCTGTCGGAACCCAAACAAACAACAGTCGACGAAATCCTGCCAAAGATATTCATCCTGTCGTGGTTTCTTTCTTATTCCACTATCGAAATCTCGGAACCGAATGCCTCCTAGGGACCTTAGGGCACACGGGCCGTTATCTGGGACGGGCGATGATAACCTTGACCGTGCGTAGGGAGAAGTCTTACTAACCCACATTCTGGGTGCTCACAACAGGTGAAAACATTGTAATGGGAAATCTAGTTCAGTGGAAAATTATTACACGACGATTTTCGTGATTGATGATGAGATGGCGAGATCGAGTGGCCTGGATTCGGAAATGGCTGCGGTTCCGGCTGGGCACCGGAATTTCGAAAAACAACAGGAAGTTGGAACGTAGCAATAATAATAACTGAATATAATACTGGCAGAAATGTTAACACAGTAATTTTAGACAGTTTTTGTCAAAAAGGCACTCCAGAACGTTAAAAAACAAGAATTTCGTTCTGGCTAAAATTTATTACAGATTCACACAATGTAAAATAACGTTCTCATGTACAATTAGTTTCCAGTTTTGTGATAGATCTGTCCTGCTGGCGCTTTCGCAAATACCGGCAATATCTGATATCTTATGAAGCGGAAACTTTTTCATTTTGATTCATTGATTACGTTTGAGCCATGGTTTGGGCGGAAGTCACAAAAAAGCTATATCCTGAAATATTAAAATGTGAAAAACTGTTCAAATGTGGCAATCTGATAACTTCGAGTCGTAATGTAAAACGTTATGTAAATTTACTGAAGCGTTATCGCAATTTCATCTGAAAATGTACTAGCATACAGATCCAGACAAAGCACTTCGTTAAATTTCCTGAGGTAACTTCATTTCTTTCGCTTTCTTTTCTGCTGTTTTTTTTTTTCAAAAGACGAATACAGTCTACAAATTTATAACTGGCAACAACAAGGTAAACACGTAATTTGTTTGTTTAACAATTTCTCTTGAAACAAAAACGGAGTCAATCTGAGATCTCACGTTTAATTATGCATCAATCTACATTCATCTCATAATTACCTACACATTGTTTCTACGGAAGCCACAATAGACCACTCTTAACTCACTTCCAGCAGTTAATAAACTATCATTCGACGTTTACAACACAATTAAAACCCAACAATAAAAATAAACTTAATTGCCGATTATCCTCTTGAGTGATCACTAAATCACGCGGAACCAAACGAAAGTCACAACAATATTCATAGAGTCGAATTATTGACCCTGATTTTAAATGAATGTATGTGTGTCGAAGGTCAGCGTGAAGAGGAACATCAGCGGCATAATTCCCATTTATTTCTCTCCTCATACGCAGACAAAGAGCAACGGTTCTCGGTTGCAGGGATGTTAGTGCTCTTAATAAAATAATCGTGAGAAAAGCTGGTTTCTAAACGAGAATAAAAAATCAGCAATTGAAAAATATTCCTTTCATGATGATACTTATGTGCATTACTACTGCAACAGTTAGAATAAACGCATTATTTGCATACGTGCTTGTCCACAACGAGGCGTTATCCGAGTTTGTACGGCTACACGAGTATGGTAATGATAGCTTACGTGTAACATGCAAAATGTTATCTGTTCAAAAATTAATGCGGTAATGTAACTCATTACCTAATGGAGATGAGTGGGATAAGTGAAATTTATTCCACTGTCGCATATAAATTATATTATCTATCTCAAATACGTACGATTATGTGTATCGGAACACGAAGATGATTTGTGTACCTCGAGGGGTATTATGGATTGAGTGTGTAATACATAACCTCTCTTACTCAGATGTTAACCTCACCGACACGATACTCTGGTGCGATGACAAGGCCCGAAATAAAATCGAGAAAACGAAAATTAAAAAATCGGGAAAATGGAAAAGCAAAATCAAGAACTTAAAAATAGAGGAAACGAAAAACTGAAAAATCGAAAATCAAAAATTGTAGTATGGAAAAATTGCAAAATTGAAAAATTACTGATCGAAAAATTGAAGCAACGAAAAATGAAAAATTTGGAATTACAGAAACTGAAATATTTAAAAAATGAAAAATTGTAATATCAAAAAATTTTAGAATCGAAAATAAATCCAGAAGTTAAAATAAAGATATGTACGTAATGTTAGAGTAGGAGGTTTTCCATTACAAAATTTTGTGATGACATCAACATTTTTGCAAGGACGCGTCTGTCAATTTTTTAGTGTAATACTAATAAAAACTGTACAGTATTCCTAAATTTTCGGAAAAATGGAAAGAATCACCTGTATAAGTAATTCTAAAACCTATGAGTGCATTGATACCACAATTATAGAGCTATAATATGTTGCTTATTTCAGAGAGGATTTATTTAGCAAAATTTTGAGATTACGTCATTAATTTTTGTGGAAGAGGATAAACAAATACATATTGATTAACGCTTTACCCCGATTACAATAACCTTAAAACGTTTGCAAGATTTTAGAGCATTTGGTTTTGCAGTTTCAAAGTTAAATTGCAAAATGTTTTTATACAATTTTGATTTTTTATAAAGTTCATCAATTTGCCTGGAAGCATTAATTATAAATAAAAATATCTGTAATGGACTGCGAACGGTAACCACCCCCTTAACAAAAAAAGTCGCTGTTAACTTGCTTCATTTGAGTATTTAACTTAAATTTAATTAACTACATTGTGTGCGTTTACTTTATTTTTATAAAATTTAGATCACGAACTGAAACCGCTTCGTAATAATCAATATCTAGTCTCCACACGTCGCAAAAAATATAAAAAAGGTTCAAATAACACTCCAAAGGAAATCTGCTACAAACTCCATTTTCAATATTACACATAAAGTTAAACAAAACTTGAATATATCAGACACTCAGTCGAATTTCGGGATAGGACATTTTCTTAATTCCAAAGGAATGGCTTCTTCCTCCTCCACAATCCTTCAACCTCGAAATTTAATATAAACACAAAAACTTAATTGCTCTCCGCCTTTTCAGAATTTTAATCACATTCCCAGATCGTCGAATTACCCCCATCCGATCCTTCCCCAATCTCTCGAAAAGTGTGAACGCCACATTTTCTCCATCGGAAGGAACAGATAAAAGCGAGTGAATTCTCAAACCTCCTTTAATAGGACTTTCAGTCGGAAATTTATTTCCGCTTAAGCCTCAACAAGATAACTGGGTCATGTTTCAAGCATGCAACAACTAAATAAAAGTTTGCAGCTGGAAACGCGCCATCCACTAAAAGCAATTTATTAGGGTCATTTCCATGTGTTAGGGTTTTAAACGCTATGATAGCTAAAGCCTGATTCATATCAGCAAGTTGTGCCAAATTAGACAACCAACAATACTATATATGACTGAACGAGTGTAACAATAAAAGACATATATATTTACAAACGATGTATTTACATTTATACAACAAGTAGAAAATAAATATGGCTATAAATATTTACATTAAATCTTCTCCAATCGTCTTAAGAATCTGGGAGGATCGATTTTTTCGGCGTGCTCTCACCTTCCGCCTTAATGTCGCCCCCATTATTCCTATAATGGCCCCATCCATTATATGCCAACTGCTGGGCGTTGTCTTCTCCAAAATGAACGTTTCCATATTGTGCAGTGGAGTAATCCCCATCTCCCCTATAATGAGGATGGAATCCCACTCCTGCTGGCGAGTATTGGGGTCCCGTGTAGTAATTGCTACTCGAGTGCAAATTGGGCTTGCAGAGCTTAAAAAAGCCAATCAGTCCCGGAATGACAATTGCCAAAAATCCTAATAATTTCTTGAATGAGGCCAGACCCAAAATCAGCGGCAAAAACAGCAAAAGCTTGAGCTTGAAAAGCTTCAAAATAATCAGCATGGGGATGAACAACTTCTTTAATTGCTTGCGCTCTGAAAGAAAATTCGGAATTTAATACCTTATTGTGATTTTTCTGGAGGTGTCAATGAGTTTTAATAAGCAAGAATTTAATTAAAGTTGATTAGCGAAAAGGAATCTAATTTCGTTTGTGCTCCAGCGACGCATTTATTCTTTGTTTTGTAAATTCTGCATCATCTAATTTATTTCTTCAGGTAAAACAGCCAGCTCACTAGCTTCAGTGTGGCGCAAATTACTTTCACGCCACTAACAAAGCAAGGGCTTTCAGAAAAGGTTTGGGAAAGGTCAGGCTATTGTAAGATATAAGATTGACACTAGTTATTTGCACCACAGGCCCTTGTTTCGCCCCACTTATTTTCAGACCGATGACTCACCGGGGTGTCTAATCGTGCTTTCTACTTACTGAAAAGTGAGTCTTTTTTGTCCTCGATGACGTCGATTTCGTCGGCAATCTCGTCGATAAATCTTGGAGAATACCTTCCCCTTTCGGTAACTTCATTATCTAACTGCACCTCGATAGCCGTCGATTTCAGGAACTTCTCGATCTGAAACCAACCACTGAAAATCCGATTTTAGCGCTGCTGAAACTTACTTTTCTCAATCCGAACTTGACGAGTTGGTCCCATTCAGGCTCATCGGCACGTGGAGATGAAGAGTATTCGTAATGTTCGTGAGCGAGCTGGCGAAGTTGGCGTTCTGGCATCCGTAGGAGTCTAACGTTCTCGGTTAGGTAATACTGGGGCTGAAAGGGATCAGGAATTATTATTAGCGAGAAGATTTATACGAGAAATTTTTTTGAATAAAGGTGAGCAGTTAATCATCTCTGTCACGAAATTTTGCTGAAGACGAAATATTTTTTTAGAATAATAGGTGGCCATAAATAGACAAAAAGACCGTGAAGTTATTTAGATAAAACTTGGTGCATTGAATAATGAGAGCTCGCGTAGTGAGCGTGATGTTGTACTTAAATCATGTATTTAAATATGTCGGCGTATTACTTACTTTCCCGAATTATTACCCAATTTAGAAATAAAAGCCGCTATTAATTTTGTTTCATGTGTTCGTTCTAGCGTATATATCCAAATATTACTTCAGCAAATATTTCCTTTCGACTGGATTTTGACAATCCTGTGTAATTGAAATTGATTTGGATGCCCTGTGGGACTAGCGCGTTTATTTGGAAAGGATAATTTGCAGCCCCGATAAAGTCAAGACGATTTAATTAAACACCAGCGTATTTTTCTGGCGAGCTTTACGAGGAAGCGCGGGATTATCCAAGGGGCGGATATTGTGCCCTAATATTTTTGTATAGATATAGATAACATAAGAATATGGCTGACAAGCTTTGTTGAGGCTTAAAAGCTTTCCATTAGCTTTTAATGAAATTGTTTAGCGGTTATTTTCATCTGACTGAAGTCTTCGGGGAAGCATATTAAAAGAGTTTTGTTTATGTAGGGCGGAAAATTGAACTGATTCAGAAATACAACAACGAACTAAACGCGCCTTTTTGAGCACCAATGGGAATGCAACTAGTTGAGTCCTTCCAATCAAAGTACGCGTTTAGATTCCACTTTACAAATAATAAACATTTATAAAAAATTTGAAACCCGTCCCGCCGAGCGCACTAAACCAATTAAGAACGGCCTTTTTGAGCACGCCACCAATCACCGATCGCGTTCGGTCCGCCGTCCGCTCTTATTTCTCTCTAAATCAAAACACTTACTTTATTGAAAAACTCGTCCAACGAAGCGAGAGCTCTCGATTTGAAACACTCCGCTAGGTCTCCATCGAGGCAGGCGGCGTTGGTTTTGGCTAAATAGGGGTCAGTGTCCGGCCCTGTCCCTAGTCCGATCCAATCCAGTAAAGTCCTCTCTGCACACTTAGGTGTTAGAGCAAATCAAAAACCAACACAAATCACATTACCTTGGGCTTCCTGCGGCAAACTTCGCTGGTTTGGTCCTATCGACTGCAGCGCCACCAGCGAGATTAAACAAGACAGTAACAACCACTTGGCAGCAGCCAACATGATTACGGATTGTTCTGGAATCGGATTTCGACGATGGAATCCTCACACAATTACGTGGACGGACGCAGGTAGGTCACTAACTGTACTAGTGCCGTAATCGAGTTGGCTGCGGAATGTGCCGGAGAAACGATTGTCTTGTGTTTTATATGAGGGGATGTGATGCAGGGTTTGTCCAGGTGAAGTAAGAGAGAAAGTGGCTTGGGCAATAAAAACGAAAGGAAAAGTGATTCGGAGGTGCAAGATGGCAGGCAAAGAGATGGAGGAGGGAGGGTCTTAGAGGCACTAAAACCTTTATCAAGATGTTTTGAGACAAAAATTTTAGTTTGCTCCTTGAGAGCTTGAATTTTTGTGTGTGTCTTTTTTTCATAGGGGAATTAATCGCAAAATGGTGCTGGTCAATTTTCGTTAGATAAATCGATGTCTAACTCATAAGGATTTAGAGTTGTTCAAATAATCCAATCAAAACAGTAATTTTGAAGCTCAAAGTACCACGCCCAATCACCATGCGTGATATTGAGTCAAATGTGCAATCCGCCAATCAGCAAATGCGTTCACTCTCCGGTCCGCTGTTTTTTTTAACTTTGGTGAAAAATGTGTTTTTTTAATTTGTTTTTTTGGGCTAGAAACGGTATTGTTCACTGCTCCCCTAGCTCCGGTAAAAATGCAAACACTGACTCATACTCTCCTCCGTGAAAGCATTCGTCGAGAGAAAGTAAACAAATCCGGCTGGAAAACCCTTGGTGATGAGTTCATTGCAGGACGGAAACACCGCTTTACGTAACTTTTATGTCATTGGACTTGAATTGCTCGGGTCATTAACAGCTCTTTGCACGGAGGCGCGTAAAAGCTTCATTTAAAAATGTTGCATTAATTCAAGTGGAGAGAATTTTAAAGGTAAATATTTCGTGAGAAAACAAAAGCTATTTTGCGTCTCGTCGACTTTATTGTTTTATTTCTTGATTAGGGAGACAACGGAGGTTTTTGTGGGTGAAATTTGTTTGTCTTCGCGAAAAGTGAACAAAACGAAACGTCGAAATGAGTATTTCGGCGAAATTGTTTTTATTTGGGACTGTTAGGTTCTGAAAATAAGTTCGAGGATGTATACATAATTCAATTGCGGGGGTGTTTTGAATTTGGGGCGACTGAAAGTGAACATGTTCCAATGTGAATAGTTTTCCGACAATTGAAGACTTTTTCTGTAAAATAATCTAAAAGTTTTATGTTTTTGAAAGTAAGTACTCTGCTCAACTTTTTAATTTCATATAAAGAGAACTTTTTAAAGTGAGACTCAGCACTAACGGCAAAATTTTTATGGTAATGCAAGTGATGCAGTCACCATTATTCTATATCTTGTTCTGTATTGCCGCTTCTACAGACTTGTATTCCCCAATCTGGGAGCTCTTCATTTTTACACAAAAACTCTATAGTCATCTATATAAATTCTTCTTGGTTTTCAAATACTAAAGTAATTTTAGATACATTTTGCTATTTTGTTTACCCCTTGATAAAAGTTTCTTATCTACGAAAAAGCCTATTCTGTAATTAGAAGTAATGAGAATACAAAATTATTTCTTTGATGACATCGGGGTTACAATTTTGTGCTTAATTTTGATGTATGTCTTCAAATAGTGGAGAAAAGTGACTGACTTCTCCATATCTTCATGACAGTTTTCAAGTATATTTAAAAATTTTAAGTAATAGATTCTGTAGTTTCGAAAATAGTCTACATTAATTTTGTTGTCTGTAAATTTTTTGTCCGATTAAACACTCAACTCGCTTTAAAAAACTGTCACCAATGTAACTAATTCTAGAAAAATAAAACCAAGCCCTTCCACTTGGGAACGCTGCCACTGCTATCGTCCTTTCGCATTTCAACCCAGACCAAATTGTTATTTACTACCGGCACAACTGTCACCAATCATCCACACCAAACGTAAAAACAACAAAATAATCAACAATTTTTCACGCCACTCACTTCGAATTTCATTCTCATTGTCAATAACAGTTTATTTCACCGCTTCATCCATCATGACCATAATCAACGAGGCTAAACCGTATTGATCCTCAGTTCATTCCGCAATAACGCATAATTAAAAAACGTATCTCAAAAACCGACTTTCCACTACAAACCGCTGACCTACTTAAATCTAAAGGCAGCAAATTGTGCGTTTTTGTTGGCCATCTTAGGGCTCTTGACGAATTTCCATCCTCCCCTATCGGGGAATTTCGCTCTTGTTTGCTAACAAAATACTGCTGCGATTTTATTATCGTCGAGAGACGTCTCCTCCATTTAAATTTCAAAAGAGCGGCCATTTGGACGCTTTCATCGTTTTAATTCAGACGAAATAATAAAAAAATCAGTACTACGTGGCGCGTTTATAATAAGCGTGCGGACCACAGACGGAACGCACTCACTGATTGGTTGGTTGCACTTCGCGCTTAATTAAACCCGTTTGGATTGGACCATGCACTTTGAGCCTCCTAAGCGCTGTTTTTGATTGATTGCGAAGAAATTGCGCTGTTTGTGCAGTTTCCTCGGAAAGATACAGTCTTATTTGTAAGATCGCCGTCGGCTTATTGATTTATTCATTCCATTTTAAATTATGTGGTGGAAGGGGCATGTCTAGTCAATCTCCGATGTTATTTATGTCACCGCGACTTCTTCCTTTCTCAATTACTCCATAAATATTGGAACTGTCGGAGTAAATACGCTGGATATAAAGATCGAGATAAATAAATATTGCGGCTTAAGTAGGCCACCGATTTCAATAGCATGTGTGAGGAAAGGTTCGGGTCTAATTTTAAGGGTGTTAGATTGGGCTGATTTTACACGATTTGGGGGATTGAAGTAGGGTTTACACGAATTTCTCGAGGTTTTAATCGCTTAAAGCTGGTATTAGCCGGGTGGTTATGTCTGAAATGAGACAATTCGCACATAACGGCGGCGTGGTGAATTATGATAAAGGAGGGTTAGAGGTATTTCTTATCGGAAAGGGAGCGAACGGATTTTCATATAATGAGGGTCTGAATGGGGCGCGGCGTAATAATCTCTTTAGAGAGCTTTCCAGAATCGGATAACTTCGGTAGCAGTTTTTATAGTGTGTTGTGTTGATGGAAAGCTTACTTGAAACATACATCAACAAACTGTATAAAAATTAGGTAGTAGAAAATTGTAAACAAGCTGTTTGTTTAAAAAATCAAATTTTCTAGTAAATTCGAATTTAAAACTGAGCACTTAAAAATTTACTAAAGGGAGCTGAAACTAATTAAAAACGATGAGCGTGTAAGTAAATTAAATAGTGGAAAATGAAAAATAATGGAAAAACTTTACAAATGGAAGTTTTTTTCAAGAAAACCACTTCTGCAGGAAAGTTAGAAAGTTACAATTGAAAAACAAGAACATGATTAAACGTTACAATGATTTATGAAAGACGTAAAGTAAAAGTAAGTTTATTACCAAATAAAAAATAGAAAGAAACGTAGCATTCCAACACTAATAAGATGAAATGTAAAACCTATATATACAGGGTGATCATTCAAATTTACCTCTGAAGTAATAACTATAGAAGAACTTAACGTCTAACACGGAGGAGCAAGGATGGTAGAACAGATAATACAAAAAAAATGTTGTAAAATAATAAATAGGAAGAAAATCATATAGGAAACAAGTATTAAAACGCGGAAAAAAATCTACGAGAGCATAAAATAATAAAAAAAGTAAAGAAGTGAATGTAAAGGATAAGAACAAAGAAAAAGGAACTGAGTACTTGAATAACGACACCTCCTTGAAAGAATCCTTGTTAGTTCTAGTATAAAATTTTATTCGGGAAAGTATTTTACAACAGGCACTTGAGCAGCAATAAATAAACAAAAAGAGATTAAGACGACAGCATCTACCTGAGCGCTAGCATAAATTACAATAAATAAAGAAAAATAAATAAAATAAATAAATAACTTAAAAATAAGATGACTAACATCCAAATCACTCAATTTAGTTTTCTCGCTTGCACCAACTTATTAATCTCGTTATAGGTGGTTAGGATAGCTGGACTAGCTTGAATGGTATTTAACGAGGGACATCCACCGTGGGCCTGACATTCCGCCCCATCCTGTCCATCCTTCGCCGCCTTCATGTATCGGAAAAACCTTAAAATGTCAGGGTTGTCTGACGCTGGCTTCCTCAACTCGTTAAGTTCCCTGAAAAACACAAAAGCAATTATTTTGTGTTAGGAAAGCGAGTCTCCGGAGACTCCGAAAATTAAGGACAGAGTGGGATTCGGCGGTTAGGATTTATTGCGAAAAGGAATAATGGCTCGCACGGACAACAAATATATAAAAAATTAAATGCTTCGTAAGCCCAGTCAAGTCTCAGTCGTAGTTTTTTCACGTGATAAAACGAATGTCGGATTCTCAGTTTGTGTAAGCGATTTGTTAAACTACCGAACCGACAACTTGAAATTTTAAGTGTTACCTGCTTAGTTGTGCCGACACGAGGTTACTGTAGGGTGCATATTTGGCCGGATTTGCGTACATAAGGCACACGAGTCTTTCTCTGCACTTTTCAGTCTCTGAGGACTTGCCGTTGCCCAGTCCCAACTGTTGGAAGACGGCATCCAATCGCGACAGTAATGGACTATAGAAGGGGTCGTAGCTAGTCAAAAGAAGTGATGAAGATGGTATTTTATGAAAAACTTTATAATCAGTCTTCTTGGTCGGTTTTCTCATGTAGTAGTTGTCGTTCTGGGGGAGATACGCCACCCTGTTGTGCCCGAAGCCAAACCTGTAACGAAACTCCGCTATATTTTCACACCATAAAATAAAAACACGATAAAAAGGTGCCTTAATCTTAATGGAGCAATATCCCCTAATAGGCACAGAAAGTGGTTTCCAATAAACTCCTCAGTTTACAGTTTAATCATTTTTCGGTGCTAAAAGTTAAATGTTTGATGGATGTCGGATCGGAACGTAAAAAAATAATTGATAGGGGGAACGAATGGGGTCGTTTTTTATGCATTGATGTGTTTAATTGCCATCCGGGGGTTATTCGTTTGGAAAAAACTGTTTCGTTTTATTTATGCATCAATTACTTCAGAATGGGAGTGCCGTAACGTATATTTAACTTATTGGAGCAAAACTTGTCTTATTGATGAGCTGGATTAGTATGTTTACTATATTATGTTTTACTAACTGTGGATTTAGCAGAGGGAAATTTCGGAGATCTGGAAACTTGGTTACTGGATTTGATTTCGTGGCTTGTTAAAATTTCACGAGTTGATGAATTTTAATAGCGGGATGTTTATTTGGGGTTTTGCTACATGGGTGTTAATTTAAGGAACGGGAATACGACGGGCTAGTTTTAAATTTTTATGGAATATATACGATGGCGCTGAATCTAGGCTTGTTATCAAACTTTACTATACAGTATTTTCTTGTTTGTTCGAGTTGTAGCAATATCGGTGCGATTTTATGGTGGTTGCCGGTTGATCAGAAACAAATTAAAATTTATAATGAACCGATAAAATTCGATATCACATAATGCAAGCTACTGATGAGCAATTATTTTAACTAACAAGGTCTCGTTATTCATACTCTGACAAATTTCCGCGAACTTACATAACCTCCAACATATGCTAACAAGAAGCTAACTACTCCAGACAAAGGAACAACGAGCTAATGGAACCGGCATGTTCTTATTCACCGCCGATATCACGTTCAAATATGACGCAAATACCACTAAAGCGAATTTTCGATACAGCCTCCAGCGATTTCCCTTCCGATGTCCTAGACTCGTTAAACACTGTAAATTTACGGGACAACAAAGTGCATTTTAAACTTAACCCTTTTCGTCGTTGCGGCCCTTGTTACTTAATCTACCGAAGTAGCCCCCATTAATGTAACTGCCTTTATATTGGCTAAATAAAAATTTCATTCGCTAAGTGCATCTTTCATCCTCTACATTTTATCGATGGCGGAATGACACACTGTAAATAGCAGCGGGACATGGACCAATTAAGCGAAACAAAACAATCGCCTTGGATCCTGCGAGTCCTGAAACTAATTCGCCACGACGTCCTAGGGTAATAGTGCGGATAATTTGCTATGTAAATAGATCACTGGAGTTCCTGAAGTGGATTCCATCCGACGTATTTTTTTAAATGTCATGTAGTGGAAATGATATATGCAAATTGTTCACTGGCCCGTGGGGGTGACATAGTTTCGGCGAAATGGGACAATTGGTAGTTATTAAATTTGGGCGCAATTAAAGAGAATTGATGGCATCACATAAACTAAGTGGATTAAAATGTAAAATTGCGAGTAACATGGAAATCAAATTTAGGGTTTCGGCTACATTTTGTAATTAGATGTAACGAGCCGTCACTGACAGTTTTTGTATGAAACCGGCTAACTACTATCCCATTTGTCGGAATTGGTTTGTTTTGGGTTGATGCAATTATATTATTTTTAGTTAAATTAGAGAAAAGTAAAGCGAGTTTTAAACACTTGGGGGCAACTGTACATACTCGGCTTAATTTAATCTAATTTTAAACTGCTACAAATAGTTAATTAAAAGAACGAATCTACTACTGAAAAATTAAATCAACAATGTATAGATGTTTTAAACTAAGTATTTTAATTAAATTATAAAAATATGACGCGAAAAAAAAAATAAAAGCAAATAGTAATTAAATTTGTAAAGATTCAGCTTCAGAATGCATTTCAGTGAATGCAAATAACTCATCTGATGCACGCTGAATTTAAAAAAATAAAATGAAATTTAGATAGAGTTCCAAATAAAAAATTAGTTTCTCAGGTTCATTATAAAGTTTTCGAGGTATTGACTCAGCTGACAGAGATTAGATACGTGTTCTGGTAAACTTTCATGTCCTGGAATTTCAAACAAAAATTCATATAATATTTGCTTACTCACTTTAAAGAACATCTGACTGTCTTGTGTTGTAATTACCACGGTAATTTATATGTGACGTCGAAATTCTTTGCCTTATTGTGAATATCGTTTTGTAAATTTCTTACGCCAAATCGCCTGAAACTATTAACCTAAATGTGACCTAAAATATTCACACTGTATTCAAGAACATTTTCCATAGAAAATATATTTCCAGTTATTTTTACAGATAATTAAAAATCGACTGATAGCTCTGTTCGTACAAAGTTTTTGCGTAAGTCGCTGCTGACTTAATCGATTTTCACCAATAAACTCCTCCTCACCTGCTATTAGCATTCGGCGACGCAGTGCTCGAAACCACATTCAAAGTTAACCCGCCTTCGGCCCCTTCGACGCTGAAATCCTGTCCCCCGTCATTGGCGTACGGATCAGTGTCCTTAAACTCAAAATCTTCGATCGGCTGTTGCTGGTTATTGATACCTGCCGAAGCTCCTGAAATCCCCGAGAATGTAGACAATCCTTTCCCGAGGAGTTTGCCTACTCCTCCCAAAAGCGAGGGTAGGAACATGGCGATTAACATCGATTTAACCAATTGTGCACCGATGAAAACTGGAAGCAGTAGTTTTTTAAGGGCGAATGCTAGGAAACCCATGCCGAAACCTGTAAGGAAGGAGTTTCTTCCGGTGGTGGTGGCGGCGGTGGCGTCTGAAACCAAACGTGCATTTGTTGAGTGTGGAGCACAGAGTAAATGTTGTCTTCAATTAAAGCAAAGTTAGCCGCAGTTGTAGATTAGGGTCGCTTTTAGCGGTTTAGTAGCGGGACAGGTTGTCGACGATTATACACTAATGTTGGTGTTTGAATTATATATTTTTATTTTTCGAAATTATTTACACAAGTGATTGCAGAATTTGATTTATTTATTTCCTTAAAAAATTGATGACGTTATATCAAAATTTATGATATACAGAGCAGGGCAAAAGCATGGAATGGGTCAAAATCTGAATTCTGCTCTTCGATTTCTCCATGAATAGCTCATAAATGCTTTATTCAATTGCCATCATATGTGATATATGCAAAATCTATGCTGATGTTTCCAAGTGATTACACAGCCGTTGAACAAGTGGTAGAATAGGAATTGAAACGTAATTATACATTTGACTGGTCAATATAGGACACCATTATTCTCCACACAATACGGGATTAATGTATAGGATCTTCCATCTCAACCGATTAACTAAAATTACTTTGAAATACACAAACGTCTTTTTATTGGTGACTATCTCACTGAATCTGTGGGCAACCAAAGTTGCTTCACGTGGTCCATTCATAATACATATTTTGCTTATAAATTCAGTGTTTTCTTGCGTGCTCAAAGCAATTGGATGACTACTTTCCCGGCACAAGCCTCGTCAATCTCATTGGGAAGTGGTTGGAGGGCATGTTTGTTTAAGTATTGATGTATAGGCACAATGTTGTGGAATAATAGCGTTTCATTTAGCGCCCGAGGGAACTTTTGTCCGGGAAATAGTGTTTCATGTCGCTATCAGCGTCGACGATCACAAATCAGCTTGTTTATCAAAAATTTGTAATTTTCGTTAAGGCTGGAATCTCATTGTTGTTTTTATGACAAAAGTAAATAAATTATTCTCGATGTTATTACCAACGCAGCGTTTTATTGTTTGCTTTTTCGCTTTCAACATTTTTTCGCTTTTTAATTAGCATGTTCGTGAGCATCCCCGATGTAATTTATGAGTAAATAATACCGGAGATTTGCGTATTTTTTTGTTTTTGTTTTCATAAATACGCCTGCATATTGATAACGATGAGCAATTAGTCGGCTCACTATCAATAGGCATTAATCCGAAAGCTTTATCGAAATTACGGGTGCTGGAAATTTAGTGGACGTAGTTTTAAATCGATTATGTAACATTGTTCGCTGGAAAAGCGGGTTGAGCCAGAACTGCTTTTAGTTACATGAGAGTTTACAAAAGCCAAACGAACTTAAAAGCTTTTTTCGCGTTTGTTCAGAAAACAGAAATGTTTGTTAATTTTTTTTTTAGTTTTCCCAAGCTTTCAACTGTGAAATTTAATTTCGCCTGAATCCTGATCGAAATGTCATTGCGCGTTGAGAACTGGATTCTTGGAGGACGTGGGAGAAATAAAAGCTGCTTTTTAATTTTTTATCAAGCGCTCAAGACATACGTCACAATTATATAAATTTCTTTTTATTTTAAATATTTCTTTTTTCATGAGGAGTATGTAAAACGTTTTCAATTTGTATTTTTAAGTACACTACAATTATAGGTATGCGGTAAACGCTAATTTTAACGACAAAGTTGTTTACCATATGAGCACAGCATAATCGGATAATCCTTTTGAAAATGTCATTTTATTTGTTCAATAAAAAATATGTAATGTAATATATTAACGATGATAATACTGCTTGGGGAATAAGGTCCGAAATTGCTAAAATTTTGTAGAATTCAATTATTTAAAAAAATGTAAAGCATTAAATAAATTCAAATCTTTCTGTATACAAAGTGGTTTCTCCCAAACTCGCTCAAGTTTTCTCATCTTATTCTGAAACATTCCAATAATAGTACGTAAGTACCCTTATAAATATTCACGCCGTCATTCCTCTCAAAGGTTAAAAGCGTACCCTTAGACAAAGCGAATTCTTCCGTAAATCCTTCCTTTTACATAAATAATCAAGAAAATTTCTCTTCACACGTGCACGCGACCGGAATACATAAAATATAGAACATCCTCAGAAATTAAGAAAATCCATCGGAATCCTTATTTGCGGCGTGTTAAAATATGCATAGAGGACACGTGTTTGTCATATACGTGCCAATCCATAAAATTAAACCCACGCTAATAAAATCCTTTAGGCATAAAATTACCACCATTTCCAATTTATTTCCTAAACTAAATAAATATTCATTATTTAAAACAATAAACAGCTCCGAATAGATATGATGATTTGTTGATATAGTACAAGGATAATAAATTTCTGCTTCCTGTATTATTATAAAGAAGTTACAGAGTTATATTATTATTATTATTAGATACACTCAGTTAATTCTGCGTAACAAACATTTCAATTTTCAAATTTACTGTTTTCATTTAATTTTTGAAAATTGAAGGATCTAAAAATCTCCGAATTCCCCACAATTCCTACCTTGGAAGAATCTCGCGGTGGCGGGAATGTTGACGGACAAGACATGGCTGTCGGTGTATTCTTGGAGTTTCCTCTTCACGTAATTTTCAATGGTCGTAAAACTTCTTGACGAGACGCACATTCCATCATCGTCGACGTGTTTGCTTGTCACATTAGCGGCTCGTTCGATAACGACACCCGGTATTATCGAGTACTCGTCCACACTCAACACACCATCAACAAACCGCTTCAGCTCTTTATCTAAATCACTTTCACAGTCCAATTTCGAGGCGAACGAAGTCGACACCAAACACAACATGTAAAGCACTTTTATCAACATGTCACCTGTTCTGTGTCTCCATGTTGGATCCATTTTGAGGGTGGGCCATCTGCAAACAGGCGAGTGGTGTTAGAACAGTCATAAATGACGAGTGGATAGCGTTTATTTTATCCAAGAAAATACTGTGAGCCAGAATTGTTTGGGTTGATGATACAGTTTAAGAAAAAAGGTTTTTTTTATGCAAAATATGGTGGAGGCGCCGGGCACATTTATTTCAAATAAATCGAACGACTTTGAAAAAGTCTAAAATTTGATTTTGCGAAATTTTATTTATTTTATGTTGACTCCTATAAATAAGTAAAAAATATAGATGATACCAGTCACATATAAGAACAAAAAGTGGCCCAAGGGGGGATCGAACTCGCGACCTTCGCGCTATTACCATGACGCTTCACCAACTAAATTAATGGGGCATTGCTCTGCGTTCCTCATATACTGTTATGAAATGTTATTGTACAAATTGAATTTTTTTGCGACAATCTGGATACCTAAGATCAAGGCGGATTCATAAACCACAAGTACAGGAGTATATCATTTTTTAAATTTAAAAGGCATTTTTTTTAACTTTGTAGTACGAGGTAATTAAGAACTTAAAATTTTCTTGTTTCTTGTTTAACAATTAATTTTGGACAATTTATTAAAAAATATATAAAATATTTTTGTCGTATTATTAATCTTATTATTGCTGTTGTTAAGAAATAAGAGTAAGGTCGTTTAGAGGAGTCTAAGAATAACCAACAGAAGTGAATGGACCTTCACAACTTTGAACAATAAACACAACGAAAGTAGACTCGTTGCTTTCTACAACAAAAGAAACACGGAAACCAGGGCGTCATTTCTCACATCCCTCGATACAATTTATCCACCGTACATTACATCCTAATTGTCCATAAAATGTCAAGGTCACAGCATACACAACTCTCGACATTTTTTTCCAGAAAATAACCCACCCGGCCATGAAAATCTGTTCCAAAGCTCTCAGTCCGTAAAAAACCAGACAATGAAAAAATAATCCTTTATTATTATTACAAACGCGTATAATTAGCAGCTGCCGATTTGCATCGACTAAAACATATTTTTCCGATCGATTTTGTACCTATTGTCGTTTATGTAAGCGACACGTTTAAATCAACGTGTTTATAACGTTCTAAATTAACGATAAGCGAAGTTTCTTCATTCTCTTGAGCGCTTAATTAGTAATTTCATTAAGAAAACTGTTTCACCTCGAAATTTGTTTATGTCGAGCTAAAAAGTTAATTATAAAGACGCGAAAGTTAACATCTACACGGGGATTTTTTGTTTGTTGACAGAGCTTTCGTAGGTTAATGGGCCTGGAGGGTTGTTGAAGGAACAACTTTATTCTAAAAGGGCACACAACGTAATGGGTTATTTCTGTCGTTATTTATAAACACTGTACAGTAATAAATCCACTTCACTGTACACAAAGCCCTGTAAACAATGAATTATATTAACAAATTCGTATAATTTCCGGGCTGTCAATATTGCATTTTGATTAAGCATAATCAAGCTCTAAAAAAAGATGTTTGTGCGATAATACTTTTATATTGATTATAAATCAATAAAATAAAATATGACGCTGAACAAATTATACCCGCCGGGAATAAAACAATTGTTATTTGAAAAGCGGAAAAAACGTTATGTATGGGATGTGTGGGACACAAAAAATTATTAAAAGCAAAGAAGCGAAAAACGAAAATGCCACCGAAGGTTTTAGGTCTACTCTCGAACGAGCTCGGATTTAAGTTTCCCCGCAACCAATTCGTAACAAAGAGATACTATAACAGACTGTCGTCTTCTTCAAATGCCCCACGTTGGGCGCCACTTTTTATAACACGTGGTTTATTCCGTAAAAACTTTATTCAACAAAACATAGTATATACACTGCATAGACATAGACTGGTTACACGAGTTCTTAAAAATGGTCACTCCGCGGACGAACAGTCCTGATAACTCGTACACTCGCGAACACCCGGAGCGTTTTTCCACGGCCGGACCTGCGGGACCCCTCGGATACGCCGCTGATACTCAAGCCGACTTACTACTCGATTTGGACCTCCAAGACCCCTCGGATGCAAGGTGATACGCAAATGAGCTGTGAAGTTCGCAGATGGAAAAACTTGCCGAATCTGGCCGCTCGGGTCCTATGTAAAGGCGGCTAGAAATGCGTCGCGTGGGAGTGAAAGGGCGCACCGCCCTCTGGTAAGGGAGCGAGCGAGTACCGGGGTGCTGCGGCAGGGTAGTGGTGGTGCGTGGGCGTGACAGAGGGCGCTAGGGGTACTGATCGCGCTACAGTCTCCCCCTCAGGACCATAGGGTGCGTCCCCGCCTATTGGTCCTGCTGGATCTTTCTGGGGCGGCCTCGTCGTCGCAAGGGTTGTACCGGTGGCACGGGCTGGGTGGCTTCCTGCGTGGGAGGTTGGTACGGAACAAGGTCAGAGGCGTGATAGAGCCCTAGCACTACATCGGGCTGTTGATGGGCGGCGATCTCGTAGCTCGTGGGGCCGTGCCTTCGTAAGACCACGTATGGTCCGTCTTGCTTGGGGGCGAATTTTGACGTGAACCCCTGGGAGGCCTTACTCAATCGGTGTGTTTTGACTAACACCAAATCTCCGGGGGCATAAGCGGTGCTTGTTTTTCGGTGACGGTCCTGGTCGCGTTTTCGCCGGTCTTGCTCGGACTCGTGTATTTCCCGAGCTCGTTTCAAGGTTTCGTCCAAGGTGAGTAACAGCGGTGTGGCCTCTGGTACGAAGTTCTCGCGGAGGGTGATTGCGCGGAGGTCGTGCGTGACGTCATCTACGGTGCGGAGGTCTCGGCCAAACATTAGGTACGCTGGGCTGTACCCGGTGCCGCTACACCATGCGCTGTTCATGGCGAAGCGAATGGAGGGTATCTTCTCGTCCCAATTTTCGTGGGGCTGGTTGCCAATCTGTATGGCGAGCTGCGTTTTCAGGTCGCGGTTTTTTCTCTCTACGGGGTTGGCCTCGGGGTGGTATACAGGGGTGAAGCTCTGGGTGATACCTAAGCAAAAAGTAATTTTCTGCATTACCGCGCTTATGAATTGGGTCCCATTGTCGCTCACGATACGACGGGGAATACCGTATCGGAGGAACACCTCCGTTACCAAGGTGGTGGCGCAGGCTTCGGCGCTAGCTTCAGCCAAAGTGAAGAGTTCTACCCATCTGGTTGCATAGTCCTCTACGATGAGGACCCATCGGTGGTGTTCTTTGGTTGGGGGCAGTGGGCCAAATAGGTCCACGGCCAGTACTTCCATGCGGTGTCCCATTGCTGGGGTTTGTAGTAGGCCAGCGGGCTTCAGATTTGGGGCTTTGTAGCGTTGGCAGTCGATACATCCCTTCAGGTAGTCGGTAATATATCGTCGCATACCCGTCCAATAGTATCTTCGCTTGATCCGATAGTATGTTCTTTCGACGCCATAGTGGCCGGCGGTGGGTGAGTCGTGGTACTCGGCCAGTACTCGGGGTCGTTCGTGTTTGGGGACTACTAGCTGAGCCTCCTCACTCTCTCCATCTTGAGAGTATCGGTAAAGAACCCCTTGGTTGAGTAGGTAGCCGCGAGAGGTCCACTGCTGGGAAATCTCGGCTTGGGCGTGGACCAGGTCGTCCATAATCTTCCTAATTTCTTCGTCCTTGCGCTGCTCGCTTCGTAGTTCGTTGGCTTTACGTGTGGGGAGGTCCACTTCTACGGAGTCGATGGCCACCTCGGGTAGGTGGGGTCGTGACAACATGTCTGCTACTACGTTGGCCTTACCGGGCGTATATTCGATGGTCAGGTGGTACGGCTGCAGCTGCAGTGCCCACCTCGCTAGACGTCCGGTCGGTGTCTTTAATGTCATCAGCCATCGGAGGGGCTGATGGTCGGTGATGACCACGGTTGAGGATTCTTCTAGATACCCACGGAATCTTCGCACGGCCCAGACAATGGCGAGGGCTTCGCGCTCCGTGGTGGTGTAATTCTGCTCGTGGTTCGTGAGCAGGCGGCTTGCGTACTCGATCGGGCGCTCCTCCGGGCCCTCCCCCTGGAGTAGAGCCGCTCCTAGGGCGTAAGCGCTTGCGTCCGTGCGCAAGACAAACGGTTCTTCGGGGTTGGCTTGTCGCAGGATGGGGGCGTCGGCCAATCGCTGCTTCAGTTCTTCGAACGCTTCTTGGTGGGTGGAGTCCCATTGCCATGCGGCATCTTTCTTTACTTCCTCCTTGAGCAATTGCCTTTTCGTGGCGTTCAGCTGATAAGGAGGCACCGCGATCGGGGCGTGGTCGCCTGTGTCGATGCGATGCTCGGCGTATGGGGTAGGCGGGCCGTGCGCCTCAAAAGCGTCGGCGAAGTCATCCACCAAGTCGTCAAACTTCGCGCGGGTCGGTTCGGTGAACCCGGTGCCTTCGTTGGCTTGCAGGTGCAGAGATGTTATGAACAGTCGCCGGGGCCCGTCGGGGAAGAGGCCCATTTCGTATTCGTCCATTTCGCCCGTCGTCATCGCGGTCTCCGCGTCTTCCCACATGTGTTCCGTCGCGTACGGAGCCTGATACGTGGTCCATATGCCGTGGGGGGTTACCAGTCCCTTGGAGGTATCGCGTTTCGGCGGTGCTGGTGGCGGGGGCCCGTAGCCTTCTTCGATGTCTCCCGCTTCCATGGGTTCCGATTGTGTGATTCGAACTTCTTTTATGGTCGTGGGAACTCCTTTTCTGGCGGGCGCCTCGGCTCCGTCGACGTCGACGAACGGGTAGGTCCGCGTGATGTCGCCGCCAAAATAGAACCGTCGTCTCGCCAAGTCGGGGATGATTCTCGCGTCCTCTATGAAGTCCGCGCCCAGCAGGGTGCGGGTGTTGCAAGAGTCGGACAACACGATGAAGGTGGTTTCTACGTGTCGTCCTTGTACGCCTACCTTGGTCGTGACGGCCGGCACCTGCAGGTGCTTGCTCGTGCCGTCTGCAAGGGTGGCGATCACGTTTTCCGTCCTTGCTTTGTGTCCCGTTTTTATCAGGTGGCGGTACAATGTAGCGCTGGCCACGCTATT